CCCTCCTGAAAGCCAGCGTGTGATCTGGTGTGATGAATGAATGCACTGTCACTGCCCTCCTGAAAGTCAAGAGGAATCACTCCACCTGGAGCTCCTGTGGCCACAGTACAATTTTCAATCTGGGAGAACAATGCTGCACTCAGATCACCTGCGCTGTACTTCTTTCTGTGCTGCTCTTCAGTTCCAGAGAGGCCTTCAAACGTGTATTTTCTGTTGAAAATAGAGCATGAGGTTAGAGTGAGATTTTTTTTTAACCATTTCATAAGGAGAGTGCACTTTGTCCTAGGACTTTCTCATATTACAGAGGCTCAGTGATCTCAAAGCCTAATTATTGCAATTTTGGCAAGGAATAGAGGCTTTCTGCTAATACATAAAACTGAAGTATTTCTTAAATACTCAATATCTGATTAGCATTTATGAAAGTAGTGTATTGCAAAAAGGTGAACATATACACGTACAGCAAGTTTTATACATGCACAAGCACGTGACGCGCGCGCACACACACTTTCTGAGTATGATACCTCAAAGGCCTTCCCTGGCTGTCGTGGTGATTCTCGCTGCCATAGAATTCGCACAGTTCTTCTAATTTGAACAGCCACGGTTCGTTCTTCATGAATTCCAATTTGATACGCTCACTGGAAGACTTTTGTGCATTATTTTCTTGTTGAGAGACTGTCCCAGTAATTTCAAGTGGTGTTTCATGATGTAAAATAAAACAAAAAAGGAGCATGACAAGGAATGAGGCCCGTGTGTGCAAAGGCCCGTGTGTGAAACATTTGGCATTCCAAGAGTTTGGTAACCACCACAGTGTAAGAAATATTACTATGAATTAATTCCAGGGTGATGTGAGTGGAACCAACTGAACAAGTGTCTAACAATATATTCACATACAGAAGAATTAGGAAAGTAAAACCATCCCTACCTGAGTCCAGATTCCTGAAGGTTTCCGCCATCACATCTCTGTAAAGTTTCCTCTGAGAAATATCCAGCAAAGCCCACTCTTCTCGAGTAAAGTCCAGAGCCACATCCTCAAAGACCACCGAGTCCTAAACATCACACACATTCTTAGTAAGCAAGGTACCACATACCTCAGTGTGTGCAAAAGGATGGGCGAGGGGGGCAGAACAGAAAGAGAAGATTTCCAGGAAGATGACATAAAGAGCCGTGCTCTCTCTAGCTTGGAACTCACACTTGTGCTTGCTGTTTGCACAGAATGTCTGGCTAGTACTGTCGCATTCTGTAGATTTACCAACATTCCTAACATGTCAGACTTAAGTCTCCATTTTAACGAAAACTAATTCTTGCCTATTTCTCTGTAAGAAGAAAATATTGCTAGCAGGGCTCCAGTTGATATATGTCGTGGTTTCTCTGAAACAACCTGTCTCTGCTATCACTGCATCATTTCAGATAAGTTATCTCCATACATTTTCTTACTCTTGACATGTTGCCTTTAAAAAAAGGAAAAAAGTATATTTTTGTGCAAGGTATAACACAAGCAAGTTCTATCTTAGAGCTAATATGAAAATGATAAGAAAACTCAAGTGAAACTCTTCCCAAATATTGAACTTTGCAATAAGTTTATGTAATGTTGCCACATATAAAACAAGTTTTTAGATGGATTAAGAATTTTAAGGATATAGGGAGGGAGGGGAAAAACGAGGAGCTGAAGCAGAAAGCAAATGTTTTGAGAATGATGAGGGCAACAAATGTAAAAATGTACAAATGTGCTTGACACAATGGATGGATGTATGGATTGTGATGAGTTGTAGGAGGCCCCAATACAATGATGTAAAAAAAAAAAAAGAATTTTAAGGATAATCAGGAAAATTTCAAGAGAAGCCAAGAGAAGAAGGAAGCACCACCATCCTCGAACAATAAAGAAACCATGGCTGAAGTCCAGAAAGTGGTAGAAGACCCCAACGTTACCACTACTGCGGGGAATGCGGCTAATTAGTTAACCTGGTCTTTCTGCCGTGCTGTCGGTGCTGGGTACCATGGAGATGGTTCCTGCTATGTCCCACAGCAGGAAACTGTGTCCAATGCGGTGTCCTCCTCACAACTGCCCCGCTTGAGCCCACCGGTTGAGTCACTGTATCAACCCTTCTCTGTAACGGGCTTCTTCTATTTTTCACCGACGTTTTACTTTCTAAGCACGATGTCAATGCTGTGTCCTGAACAACACTCTACTCTCAGCTAGGTTCTAGGATGAACTCAGAGACCATGAACACGATGATGGGGCTTATTGTGCTAACTCTTAGGTTCCACGGAGTCAGCTCCGCCAACGCATGGAAGGAAACAGTGCCTGGTCCTGCACCACCCTCACGACCGTCCCTGTGGTTGAGCCCATTGCCGCCGTCACAGCGTAAACCCATCTGCTTGTGGGCCTTCCTCTCTTTCACTGCCCTCTACTTTACCAAGCACGATGCCCTTCCTCCAGGGTCTGGTGTCTCCTGACATGTCCGGAGTATGTAAAAAGAAGTCTCATCACCCTTCCTTCCAAGGAGTACTTTACAGGTGCACGTGCTCGAGACTGACTTGCTTAGTCGGGACACGTTACAAAGTTCTATTAGGGCTGCTAATAAATGCCCAATGTGTGAACGCCCCTCCAACATAAGCCTCAACTCAAAGGCACTCACTCCACTTCCTTTGATCGGTGAATCCAGATCCCTGACTTAAGAACCCACAGGCATTACTATTCGAGCCAGCAAGCCCCTACGAAAGCACTCAGCTGTGCTTGCTCCGTGGGCTGGTTAGTCCCGGCTCTGCAGCATGCCCCGGCTCCTAGTTCTGCTCCTGCTGCTCCTCTACCATTCCTCGACATCAAAGCTATCTTCTGGATCCACGAGGTTCACTGCACAGGGATTTCAGGGTTGAGTTTGCACTTGACTCCTCTACTTGCTGGTAGGGAGATTGTTTGGTCCCTCACTCACCCTCAACTTGAGAGGCTAATTTTATTGTGCACAAGATGGCAACCACAAAGAGTTTCTCTAACAAGGACTCATAATTGAACTCTATCACTATCTTCCACCACCTTCTCTTAGCTAGAAAGTCAGGAAAGGGGTATTTGGTGGCAGTTACCAAGACTACTGCTAGAAGGACAACATTACATAACTGGCTACCCTGTAAAGCCAGGCTACCCTATTGCAGGATCGGGTCTCCCTGACAACATATCCCAAGTATGTGAGACAAAGTCAGGTCATCCTTGCTTCCATAGTAACACAAACTCAGATGGAGTAGGGTCCCACTTATTGGGGATTATCCAATGAAGGCCCTACGACTAGGAGTGCATCTTTGTCAGATGAAGTAAGATCTTCATGAACACAGGTGGACCATTGTCAGGCACGGGGACAGAAGAGGAGCCCTCCATGCTGGAAATAGGAGCGGCCTCTGGGAGTCGAGTCGACCACAAGCTTTCAGCTTCCTATGCTGACGGAGCGTGGCTCAACACGAGAACAGCAGTCGCAGATGTTATTGATAACTGAAACATGAAGTGCACAGAGTATGGACTTAGGAAACTGTAAGTCACCAAGATGAAACGGAACATAGAAATATTGATATCCGAGGCACTAGTGAACTGGACTGGCACTGGCCATTTTGAATCAGGAAATATTACAGTGGGGGTAAAGGGGAGCTGATATCAAGGAGGTGAAGAAGGAAGAGAATGTTTTAAAAACTGATTGTGGTAACACTGTACAATACTGCTTGATTACAATACTGCTTCATGTGACTGAACGATGGAATGATATCTGTATTAGCTCCCAATGAAGCGGTTTTGAAGAGAGGAAAAAAAAGTCTTCAGGTTGAAATTGACCAAACAGCAGTCAAGATGCATGGATAATTATTGGCAACTGCAATGAGGACGTTGGAAACAAGCCAAAACAAACAAAAAAAAACCTCTCCAAACTCACTGCCATTGAGTCGATGCTGGCTGATAGTGACCCCCCAAGACTATAACTGTTTACAGGAGTAGAAAGCCCAGTCTTTCTCCCAAGAAGCTGCTGGTGGTTTTGAACTGCCGACCATGTGGATCGAAGCCCACTGTAACCACTATACCACGAGGGCTCCTCACAAGAGGAGGAAGCAGTAATTGTTAACCATGGCCTCGGTGTTCCACAGGAAGCTGGAGATCAAATGATAACCTCTTGCAAGACCACGACTTCTTCACTGCACTTCTCTTTCTCCAACATAAATGGCAGCTGAAGACTTAGCACTGCCCAGATGGAATACAGAGAGAAAGAATCTACAGAAAGAAACAACTGAATAGCTCCAAATCATCAGCCCAAACAAGGCCAGGATGTGGGTGCTCAACCGACAATGAATGGCTCATATGCACATTCAGATCGAAACAGAAGAAAATCAAAACAAGTGCACCACAGCCACAAGACACACTCTAGCTAATGTGCCACCTGGACACCTTGAAAACATGGGACACATGGACGCTCCCGACAGAAGACTTGATCAGCTGTGGAGTGACAATAAGAATACCTTACATGAAGAAGCAGAAGACAACTAAGAGGCAGGGAGATGGAAAGATCAACGTGGATGTCAGAAGAGTCTTTGACATTTGCGCCTGATCACTGAGTCGCTAAAGCAAATGGAGAAAAGGATGAAGCAAAACAGCTAAGGAGAAAATTTCCCAGGGCAGATCCAGCAGATGAACTATTATAACGATAGTGCAAAGACCTGGAGGCAGACACCAAAAACAAAGTACACACGCAGGATATATCAGGTTGGACGCAATATCAAGAAAAATTCTAGTCTCGAGCTGCAATACTGAAAGATTCTATGAGGAAAATACTGACATTCAACCAATTCAAGGGGTAGTATGTGATCAGGAATTTACATCCAGTGATGTGACCACTGGCGGAATTCGGGGAAAACAAGGCCCTGGGAATTGACAGAATACCAAATTAAATGTTTCAATAAGCTGACAAAGCACTCACTCACTTGTGCAAAGCAACATGAACAAGAGCTAGCTGGAAGAGAGCCTGTATGTATGCCCATTCCAAAGAAAGGTGTCACACATAATGAGGAAATTATCAAACGATACCATTAATATCACACTCAAGTAAAATTTTGTTAGAGACAACGCACCAAGAGTTGTAGCATTACATCAATTGGGAGCTATGAGAAACTGAAGTTGAATTCAGAAGAGGATGTAGAACAAGGGATATCGCTGCTGACCTCTGACGAATCTTGGCTGAAAGTAGAGAATATCAGAAAGATGTGTAGAACAAAGACTCGTAAATACGATTGGTATTCTGACTTACTGCACCAAAGATAAAAGCCAATGATTTCTAGAAAAAGGAATTTATCAATTCCTTAAATCTGAAATTGGCCAATATGTAATCAAGATGCACTTATATTTACCAGTGATTAGAAAGCATCACCAAAACCAAGGCTCCAAGAATTGATGGAATACCAATTCGTGTTTCAGCAAGCTGATGAAGCACTGCAAGCACTTACTCATCTAAACCAGAAAATTTGGAAGACAACACTTGGCCAAATGACTGTACCCATTCCAGAGAAAGGTGCCCAACAGAACGCTCCAATGACAGAACACTATCTTTGCTATTTTGCTGAAGATCATCCAACAATGGTTGCAGCAATATGTTGACAGGGAGCAGAGAGAGGTCCAGGCTGAATGCAGAAGAGGACATGGAACAAGAGATATCACTGCTAGTGTGAGATGGATCTTGGCTCAAGGCAGAG